GTTGGAGATGTGTTCACAAATATACAATAAAAACATTTGGCAAGTTTTATTCAATGCGTCTATTCAGAGTAACATACCAACCTGACGTTTCTTTTGCTGCTTAGTATATTTCAGCATCCTTACTACGTTTGCGAAATCCGGCTTATAAAGACGATGCCATGAAAATAATATCACCCCTCAACTATTAGAAATATTACTTTTTATTTTGAAATCTACTTGTAAACAGTAGGCGGTCATTAAACTATTAGGTTCACCTTGTTTAATGGATTTTTATTATACTTTGAAAGCTTAAAACAATAACAGAATCTTTTCAATTATGATAAACATCACTTCAGAAATATCGATTTTAATTATAATTTTCTTCTTGAGATGACTTAATCATAAAATGATCTTGTTCTTGATATTCTTATTAATCTTTCAGTAGTTGTGGATGAAGACACAAAAACTCACCGTGAGCTACCACAAGACCCGGATAAACTGAACCATGTCGAAGCCACAACAGGACCAAGAAAGGATTCAAAGGAAACCAAGTTTAGAATTCAAGAAAAAAAACCCATTGTGGTACTTCCAGATCACATGTCTCCTATTTCCAGTGAACTGAACACAAAAGATGCTCTAGCCAAGCACATATCTCTCCCCAACAAACCATCAGATATTTTAAAAGATGTAATCGCCGAGGGCTTACCGATTAGAAACAAAGTAGATCCCAAGAAACCACCGTTCATCCTAACAAAACAAAATATTAAAACAAACATCGCCACACCTAACTTCAGCGAAACACTAAAACAATCAGAAGAACAGGATTCTCCCTCTTCAGCTCAAATTGCAGAAATGATAAAAAATGTTCCAAGTATGGATATGAAAGATGTTTTGAACTTGTTTAATCTGCTTAAGCATAATGACCAAATTAAAAATTACAGAAATCCAACAACTCGCCGAGCAGCCATTAAGATTGATAATATGTGTTGCCCAATTTAATATTTAAGTACAAAATTATAACCATTAATAAAAGCGACATATTTATTACAAAAACTGTCTTACATGATAATCATAAATAAAATAGTGTATGAATGGTACCTTCTGCTATTTCAGGATATCATGCTGTGATCCCACATGGGAAGTTGTATAAAAACGATAACCATAGGCAATTTTGGGTTTAAAATTTTGTGCGTATTTTTATGGAATGTTTAGAATGTGGACAGAGTCCGTATTGGATGTTGTTTGTGCTTGTCGAACGAAGGACATTCGTACTGTTTGTGAGTGAAAGGTGCCCGTATTGAATTGTTTCTTTAAACGTTGCACATAAGAAAGAGTACCTACTTATATAGACTTCTGTTATGTGGATGTTATATGTTGTCTGTATACGGCGCCGTTGTTAACTGTTATGTTGCCCACATGGATATTATATTGAAATAGTTTTATTTTTGAAAGGAGAGAATTAATTAAACTCGAAAAATCGAAACTGTTAAAAGTTTAATGTATAGACATTTTGCTCATGTCTGTGGGAAAACTCTTAACCATGACCTTTTAAACAAATTTGTGTCTGTTATCATTTCCCGGTCTTATTGGTTCATCCTAAAGGAACTACACGCGTTTGTTTTAGTTCTAAATAAAGTATTAGACTGTTTTGATCTGGCGTGTCATTGGAGTTAGTGAAAGATACAATGAAATTTGTGTTATGAAAGATTAGCGGATATCGGCTTTAATTTTTGATTTTCTGTGTCGATACAAAATCTCAACACTGGCTTTATCAAAAGACGTACAAATTTCAACGAAGACAGAACGACCTCCTCTGAAATCAACTAATACCGTTCAGACGCTTATTTTTAAACCAGTTCAAAATCGCTGGGTTTTTTAAGACAGGGTCGTGTTGCGTTCACACGCACTATAAGCCAAACCAGTTTAACTATTCTGACCTCTTCGGTCGGAGGTTAGAGTTAACTACGCATGGGTAGCTTCATATTCTTTATTCGGTTCTGGCACGCTTTCGATAACACTGACACTGCATTAAGTCGCCATTTTCCCAGAAATGTAACTTACTGCGTACTGCGCATGTTCAAAGCGAGCTGGAGACGTTTTTTTTAAGCCAACCCTTTCAGACGGCCAAGATGAACCAATTTAAAATAAAAAGCCTTCTCGAAGACAGGTCGCGAGCTGGGGTTTTTAAACTGGTTTATTTGTCCCACATTGACAAAGTTAAACTGGTTTAACGATCTCCGGGTCCTTTAAACCAGTTCAACTTAAGCGTCTGAACGTGCTATAAGACTCTCGGCACATTCTATATACTGTAATAAGCGTAAAACAGGACAGTGGATGACATTACAGCGTTATGTAACTGTATAGTCAAATGATATCAAATTCTAGATTTAATGTTTAAATAAATGTCTATTTAATGTTGACTGTCAGATTATCAGAATATCGAAATAATATGCTTCCATTATAGAAATCTATTAATTTTCCTGACACAGTGCAGGATATTTGAGCGACAATTACAGAGGTGTGTCGAAGGCAGTTAAGTAGTGCGTATTAACTATTTGAGTTTTAACTTAGAACTGTTTCCGATGGTTGGTCATTAAACTGACAAAGAATAAAGTAACTCGTGACTCAGATCATTGGGTATAGCCATATTTAACAACTGATATTTAGGTCCTTGCACTTCTACTTAAATATCATCCAAAAACAAATTTAGTCTTTGTTCCTTAAACAATTAGATCTTGTGTTGAAATAATAACCATTTGTTAACGCTTTTTGACTTTTAATTTAAACCATGACCCGTGATAACAAAGATTTATATAAAAAAATATATGATCTGATAAAGCGATACATAAACCTATTAACACATTATGGTATAATATAAAAGTCATGTATCTGGTGAGATGGTTTTATTAACAGATTCCACAGAACAATGCAAATCGTGGTAGATAATACTGTATGGTTAACGAGCATAGACAATGACATTACTAACGCTTTACCGTTGTAACATTTCTATACCCGATGTAATCGGATCCATCGTTGATATAATTAATCGTAAATGCGATCGTCAAACAAAAACTAGCGTAAAGTGTAAAAAATCAACAAAATTGGACAATATTAATGTAAGTCGTTGCAGAATTATTATTTACATTAGATGGTTTTTTTTGTTAATTACATGTTTCCTAAAGAGGTTGTGTAATGATGATGTTTTGGAATTCATTATAAAAACTGCAAACATCAGTGTGGGAATGGAGAAACATAAATCAAAATGATCATAAATATTTCTCTCCTGGGAATCTAAGCGCGAGAAGTCAGTTTCCACCCATGTCATGACAATTGTATTACTGCATATTATATAGGAATAGGACATTACGGGTTCTCTCAAACTTTCTGGTTAGGCTCACTATTCTAAAGCAACGGTGGTATTTTTTTAGACTCTAACTCGGAGGAATTCAGGATATATGAACTCCATGTAATAACTTTGGGATTTTTAAGTTATAATAAAACCCTGAGTAATATGTCTTTGAGTGAAACTTGAATCTCTTGCAAGTTTTCTGTGTCGTGAAGTCCAACTCATACTAATTAAGAAATCGACCAGGAAGCAAAGGAACACAATTTTCATTATTACTTACGCACAATTGTAGTTTCACTGGACAAAACTAAGTCGAGATTTTGAGAGATATCTGGAATTTAAAGGCATTTTTGGCAGCCATGTTGTTTTTATGCTCATTCGGCTTGAGTACAAGGATAATCGTCTTCAGCACACCAAATCATTAAGAAAAGTGATGTTACCCCACTTTTACTAAGAAATGCAATTAACGTTCCCTTGTCATTCAGCGAAAATTTGATTAGTCTGTAGAGTTCATATACACTATCGCGCAGTCTAGTTGACTCACAGCTAGCTGCGAGCACAGTAGTAGATAGGTAACGATAGGCATAGCAAAAACTTTCTTCTGCCAATTGCTCATAATTATTGTCATACTACGGAATCCGGAAATCATCCCATTAAAATCTTCGGTTTATTATTATATGTAGGATTGGTTTGAAGAACTGAATATTGATATCGTTATGTTCTATTTCACGAAAAATTAAATGTTTTTATGGAAGAACCGAATAGAATGACTGAGCGTCTGTATACGATGTCACTGTGAGAATAAATAGTATCACAGTTGCAAGAATTGATGTTAATATTTCGGAGCATTGCGAATATCCAGCTATTTAGCGTTCTCTCTATTGATTTTTGTGCAGTTTTGGGAAACCAATATAAGTTTGACAGGTCAACATCTTTATTTCCGGAATAATTTCTAAAAGATGAATTCGTCCGCTTATACGTTATCAATAGATCCCTGTTACCAAATTACTTGACAAGACAGCTATTAAATAAGTCTATCAGTGTTACTGGAAGCCTTATCAGCAGGAACAATAATGCATGTGTCAAGCAGCTATCCAAGACATCTGACAACATTTTGATTTTTAAGTATGGAACCTGAATTGTCGTCAAATGTCTTGAAGAGACCATACGTCCTGAAAAATTTATTTGGCCGAAGGTCCATTATATTATGTTTGTATACAGATTGCTGAACGATACAGATGGCCCCGCGTTCAAATTTCTAGTAAGTATAATTGCAATTGGTACAACGTTTGCCCCTAAACAGTTTAACTTTCACCCGATTTGTCTCAGTGTCTTGGGTTGGAGTTTGAAATAAAGAAACGTCAAATCCATCTCAGTAATTAATTGATTCTTTCTCTACCCGCAATCAATCCCAGATCACCCCGAAATATACACTATACAAAGTGATTGGTCCCTGTTTTTCTTTTCATAAAAGATGACCCCTATCAATATTCAGCACACCGCGGCCTTCGTTACAGAGTCGGTGTGAGGCCAAGTGTGCCTCTGCTGTCGACAATTCGTCCCTGCTGCATAGTACAATACTAGACCCCCCTCCCCAACACCCCACACTTCTAGTTATAAACGTAAATTTAGGTGCATCTAAATTGTACGCCAAACAAACTCAAAACGCTTAATAATCGGTATGTTAAAAATTTATGTCGAAGATTTTGATTTTCGTTATGTAAATCAAAATAAAAATCAATGTTAATCACAAAAAAATAAATTTATTATTATAAAAAGGAAATTTCATATCACTACTTGTCTAGCATTTCTAGTTTTCGAATGTCGAAGTTGAAATTTACCATTTTACATAATTTGTTGCATCTATTTATAAGTTTCACATTTTCCAAAATGTTTCTAGCGACATCTTAACCAAATCGTAGACTGGGGATACGCAAGTTCGGTTCTGCTTGTCTTTGCTTGAGACCAGAAAGTAAGGCAGCCAGATTATTCATTAACATTTCTTGCCGTTTACTCTTAGGCACTGAAATATAAACGTTATAAATAAACATTGTCCCATATATCATACTTTGAATTTGTCCTCGTATTTCAAATTTGAGATTCAAACCTTCACCAGAATCAACTCAATATAAAATATATACATTCAATTTGATTCAATTACAGATCTATTTTTCGGTTTTTTTATATACGTTTGATGACCTTTAGTACATACATGTATGACAGATTGTAGCAGGAGTTCGCGTCAGGGGTTATAGGGGCGGCTCTTGGCCCTTATGGCATCAGACATTTGATTAACCAATCAGCATTAAAGTTTCTAGTGGGATGCCTACAGTTCCGTGCACTGCATGCCAAGAACTCACCGCAACAGACCGTTTCATTTTCTAATCCCTCACATTAACCAGAACACGGGATATTTAACATTACAATTCTTCCAGATCCTAGAGTAGTATAGGCAGGAAAAACGAAATTTTGAAGAAATAAAGAACGAAACGAAATAGGATCTGTGTTTTCAACTCAAGTGTCATTTGTTTATGTGAAGCTTATGATGTACGTGTTAAGCAAGTCCGAATTGAAGAATGTTGTGGCTGTGGTGAGAACAAAATAAATCGGGCCAATGCCGGACCTCTTTTGGACTGTACATCACCATATCATCTTAAATGTTTAGTGCATATCTTTATACTATTTTTTGTTTTAAACACGGATAGATTAAAAGAATCTCGTAAGACAACCAACTACATTTCGGAAATTATAAGCATATCTTACATACCTATACTTTTCATATGTATAGCCTACTACAATCTAAAATATTTGATAAAACTTACTAGCGTGGTATTGCCGTAACGTATGTAGCACAGGTTCTGTATCTCGGAATCGTAGTTTTTTCAACAAAATCTTTGTTAAGTCTGAAATGTAAGAATACAATGTGCTATATAGATGGGGGTTTTAAAGATACATTATTCAGTGCCCTTATAATGTATCACCTGTTATTCTATGTACAAGTACCATTGTTATAGAATAAATTACCATTCAAACTCGTAATAAAGATCTATTTTAAAAAGGCTTTTTACTCCGTGACTCTTTTAATAGGTAGATTATCCAAATCTTTTTTAATTACATACAATTTTATCTGAATAACAATATTTTATTTATATATATTTTTTTTATCAAGTATGCTCTTGGTTATCACGTTTATTATATAAATGCGATATAAAGTAGCTTTGTATATTTACAGGCTCCATTAAAGTCGCTGATTTCCATTTTTCGAAAAAATATCTAATTTTTCACGATTTAAGTTAAACTCAAATTGTTTTTTGTTTTTTTTAATTAATTAAAAGAAGACAAACTCAGAATATAAAGGCTAAATCATCTCCGACTTGGATTCAGTCGGATTTTTTAAATAAAAAAAGTCTATCCATCACAAGATTTAGATGAAATGGGGTTTATATCCCACTTTTCTACACCAAATCACGTTTACAAATATGATATGTAGTGGATGTCGATTATTGAGAAGTTTTCAATTCATCATAACTTTGTAAATATTGAACTGAACTGAACTGAACAATTGTTAGACTGACATTCTAAGGTGGATGACAAGGTCTGTCATATAGAGTCAAGTGGCATGGTTTCGATTCCAAGCAAGCGAAATATTGAAATACATGTAAAAATGAACCATATGTTAGTCCCAAAAGGACCTAGTTTGTGTCTAGTTGCTGTTAAACCCCATCTCTCTCTGAGATTATCTGAAATTTTGATTCTGTTTTATTATTTAGATAATTGTTAGATAATTAATTAGAGTATAAATCAAGCCGTGGAATATTAATTATTGGTCGAAAAGGGAAAATGGCGATCTGCGGCTTGAAGTCCATAGAATGTATAGTAAAATGCGCGATTTACGCACACTTATGTCCTACGTGTGCTTTGTGAAACGGGGCCCAGATAGACCCAAGAGAAAGATATCCCGATTTTAAAACGGACTGGATAAATCCAACAATTCACGGTTCCTACAATCCGATCGTCAAAAGATCGAACCTAAAACCGAGTCACGTATAATGAATGAATGTAAATGTATTGATAGACGAAAATAATTAAAGAATACATTATCGCGATGTTACTATTGGACTATTTAGGCCTAAAGAGGGCTATATCCCGTTGATAAAGATAATCATGGTGGATTATAAAACTGTCGTTTTTGGTGGCCCAAAATCCTCATCTTTCTTAATCCGCCATCATCCAACTGTTGTACCCGCACCCATGCCAGTTATGCAGACTATGTGAAGTTTCTGTGGACTTTCACAATACGCAAGGTCATAACTATGGCAATCTAACTGACCATTTGCTGTAAACCACGAACATTAAACTTGATGGAAATAATGATCACGGATAGTCAGGCATGATTGATTCCAGAGATGATGAAAGTCCTGGTCGAGGCATCTTCTCTTTGCTGAGGTCGTTAACCTATACATACCGTCTTTTTTTCTTCATAAAAAGCAAGGTCTTAAAAAGGTCAACAAGGATATATATTGAATGACCCATAAGGGAATAATGAACCTTTATCGTCTTTTTATTTAATATAGTAATATTATAATTTCTATAAAAGTTAAGGAGATCGCATAAATGAAATAAAACTGGACAGTGGTCATTAGCCTACATTTGAAAGTAAAATTCAATCACCAATGATACATTCTATAGATTAGTTTGAAAGAACAATGGATGGATTAATGAAACTTGATGCGATTCAGTATTAATCAACTATAAAACAATAATTATATGTTTAACAGCCACTGTTGTACATATCAAACAAAAATTACAGAAAATTTGTATGTAATAATTATTCGTCATGAAATAAAATAAAGAATAAAATCAAAGAAATTTAACTTCGACCAGATTCAAAATCTTTGTCAGATATACAGCGAGCATCATGGACATCTTATGGAGTTCTGAATTTGTTTCCAAATATAGAATTTTTAACGTTTCAGCAAAATTCATTGCCAGCATGACATTCTACCAATCCATTAGTTCGGCAATCTATGGCCCGGTCCTAATAGTAATCGTGTAGCAAGATTGCTAGAATGTTTGCCCATTAAATTAATAATAGCATTATTTTGTATCTTTAAGTAATTATTGGCTTAATATACATGTATTGAAGGGAAGTCAGATCCCATGGACTAAAATAAATGATGGATAGTTCATACATATAATTTGGTAAACATTAGCTGGTTCCGTGGAATAAGAATATCATGTTTAACACGATTGCATCATTTGGCTTAATTAACCAATCTCTATAATTATTTACATCATATTTGACCTATTAGATAATTGAAGGTCCAAAACCCAAAGCTACAAAACTATCATATTTGTGAGCAATCGTCAGACAGCAGCAATTTCTATCAGCAGACTCGTCCCAGCGAGTCTAACTGGATGGGGTTTGAGAGAACGACTTTAGTATTGTAATCTACTATGCTTGTATCTATGTACCCAGCTATGATATATAAAAGGTAAAAACGAACTGTTGCATTGTTATTCCTGGTAAGGCAAACGTCTTAACTAACTGAGAAAACAGTAAGCAGGAAATAAACAACATGAAGTGGAAGCAAAGACGACAGGTGAAAATAGTAGACGATCACAAGGGTACTAAGATATGTAGTATATAAGAAAAGATGCATGGGTCATACGTAGGATGTGGCGACCAGTATTAGTACGTGGGCCGCTCTCCACGTCTGACAGAGAAAGACCCATGGTGCTACACTCGAAGCATTATTCTTGTCCTTTAATTTATTATATCAATATTTTACAAGAATTCGACCATATCATTTGCATTAAACGCCCGACGGTGAGATATTCCGTTAAAAATACATTATGGGAGATTCGATAACGAGTTGGCAGTTCTCACTATAATAGTTAAAAACTAGATAATGTAAAGGCAATTTGCTGAACATTTCATTCAGATTGATCCACTATGAACCGAGAACTAAGGATTGAAATTTCCGCCTAGCCTCGATCATCATTACTAAAGTCAGTTTATCCATTTAATCGTTAAATCCTGAAGGAAAGTTATGCAGTAAATCGGCTCATAATCCACTAAAGATCGCAGGCTAGCGATGCGAGAGAGAGGGAGAAAGAAATGGGGTTTAACGTCCACTCGACACAAACTAGGTCATTTCGGGACTAACATATGGTTTAATTTTATTTCAATAATTCGCTTGCGCATAGGGGTCTTTAGCAGTGAGAGGAAACCGGATGACCCGGAGAAAACTCAAGAGGTTGGACAGGCGACCCTACTCCTTGTCACGTACAACCGGGGATTCGAAACCACGCCAGTCGACTCAATGACAGACTTTATGATACAGCGCGCGCACGCTAACCATTCAGCCATCCACACCCCCCCCCCCCCCCCGGCTAGCGATGCCATCTAGAGTTGGTTATGGTCTGGATATGTTAATTAATATGTAATTAATGATTTAGATAACATTTCAAGCCTAAAGAAAGACCCGCAATTGGCAGATTTAGCTCTTGCATAATGTATGTTTAATCCATTGACCTGACAATATCTAACTGTACCCATTAATACAACACCAAACGTGTATTCATGTTATGTCATGAACAATTTGTAATTCATCTCCCATGCATTTCTCTTTATTCAGTTACGAGTTTTCAGAAAAATGAAATTAGTCTAAACATAGAAAGCAACTAGATGGACACTGGAAATAGTGATCTGAAGAGCTATGATAAATTTGAAGTCTACTTATCTTTAGATGTTCGGTGTATTTGGGGTTCAAAAAGTATCAGGGATTGGTTTCACCTAGCTGCGCTCTGCACATCAATGTAGGAGAAAATGACCGACAGTTTTAGGTTTAACGAAAATAGGACATCGTTTATGATTATATTTAAACTACTCGGGACATATTGGAATTTTTATGCTTGCTTTCTGCGCTGAACCATATCTAAATCACACTAAACATTAACATATTTCCGTGGCTCACTAAGTAGATGTTCCTGTGTTCGATCCCGGTGTTGGCCGAGAAAGTTCCCTTGGATTTTCCAGTGTGGTTACCCCATGTCAGTGATGCAACACGGTGAGCTTGACAAGCGACACGCGTGTAGTCGTCCGTGTACACATATTGTATTTCTTACCTTCGTTTGACTGCCTTTTCCCCTGTGGATACCCGAGGAGCCGGAGGTCTTGTGTGTCTAAAGGTTCATCAGAAATATCACTGGCCATCGTTATACTGATAACCATAACGACCGCCATTATAATACGACAACATGGTACTACTTCTAACGACACCATTTTTTTATATCTGAAAAGTTGTACATTGTTAAAACATACACAAAAATACACATTTTTATATCTGAAAAGTTGTACATTGTTAAAACATACACAAAAATACACATTTGTAGGTAACTGTGACTGTTACAGGGGAGTATCATGACGTCAAAGTTAAAATTGAAAAATTAAAGCTTCCCTATGCAGTATCTTGAAAGAAACGTGTTTTATAATATATTTTTTCTCGGTATTTTCGATGTTTATTTACGTAAAATCGCGACTGTCGAGGGAATATATCTTTAAGATACTTTAACTTGAATAGTATTCAGTAGGCCGACATGATGCTTACAACGGACTTAGAAGATACCCTTAGATTATTTGTTAAAATTGGAGGAACCAAGGGGCATTAAGACGAGAGACTTTTAATGAAACCCACCAAAAGATATAAATCGTTTTCAACATACAACAGCTATTAAGTTATGGTGCGATAAATAGACCACTTTGAGTAAGTAAAAAAGGGTTGTCTAACTTTCCAGAACGTAAAAATTGTGAAGAATAGAAAGAGAATGAGAATTATATGAATAGTAGACAGTCAAATACAAACTTCATTCAAGTAGTAATATTGTTTTTATTTATAAAAAACAAAGCACTCCAGGCTTTGCATGTAGTTTAAAGATACATTATGAGAGATTAGATAAAGAGCTGGAAGTTCTCACTATAATAGTTAAAAACTAGATAATATAAAGGCAATTTGCTGAAAATTTCAGTCAAATTGATCCACTATAAACCGAGAATTAAGCGATTGAAATTTCGGCATAGCCTCGATCATCATTACTAAAGTTGGTACGATAAAAAATAGTCTCGATTATCCATTTTTTGATTTAATTAGGAGCAGACCGGGTTCTAACCCAGTAAATATCGCAGGCTAGCGATGCCATCGAGAGTTGATTATATGGTCTGGATAAGTTAATTAATGTCTAATTAATAATTTAGATAACATTTCATGCCTAAAGAAAGACCTGCAATTGGCAGATTTAGCTCTTGCATAATGTATGTTAAAACATATTATGATCATCTATAAACTTAGTGAATCTTACACACCTCTCCAATTCTCAAATTTTAACATACCTTAACTATCTTTGTTTACAGTAAGTGCTATTTTTTTTAAAGAGATTAACCATGGATATTATTGAGGAATGTTGCAAACACCGGGGCTTAGACGGACACACATCGTGTATTGTGCTATAAGGTAAACTTCGCCCTGACTGTGGCGCTACGGCCTACTTCATGGAACTAGACATACATTAATAAAACCAGAAGTAACGAGTCCATATTCACCCAAGCATTTTCCGTTAAAAAAATATTTTCTTTTATTTTTTCGGTAATGTAATAAGCAATAACCATTGAAATCAAATCGGTGAAAATTCTACAGAATGGTAAAGTTAAAGATAACATGAAACGCCTCTACATTCACCAACGTGTTTTCCGTTAATAATAATGAAATAAAAAATAAAAATAACTTCACAATTCAAATCGGTGAATATTCTACAGAATGGTGTAGGTAAAAAAACCATGCAGCTTACCATAACAGTTACATTTAAAATTGGATTCTCGTCACATACGGATTAATAAAAAAACACAAACAAATGAATATGTATAAATAATATAAAATTACTAATCAGAAAAGTTAAATGAACTAAAGTATATTTAATGTGAACAAAACCCCCCAACCCCATATGAATATTATAAATAGTATGAAATTACTACGAGAAAAGTTGTAAAAAACTAAAATATATTTATAATGTGAACAAAACCCAAATGAATATTTATAAAATTACTAGCGAAAAAAGTTAAAAGAACTAAAATATATTTATAATGTGAACAAAACAAATTAGGATATAAAAAATTAAAGAAAAAGAAAGAAAAAAACTTTACATATACAATAATATAAGTATACGAAAAATAAACGATAACTTACCTTTTGAGCGGTCAGTCTACTTTGAGAATATGACTATAACCTGCGGAGGCTTTGTATCTTATATTTCCATCATTACCCACGCAATACACAATTCATTAACACCCATAAGTTTGCATTATTTATTGAACCCTTCGTTTTATAATCAGGCCAAATTCATAGCAAACTAATTGTTTGTTTCATTGATTTTTTTTTGTATTTGGCATTTTAGTTATTTTATATTATGTATAAAAAAAACTTATTTAAACCGTAATACGCGGTGTCCTGAAAGCAATTCATGGGGTCAAGGCATGTAATATATTATACTTATTTAAAAAAGTACGCAAAATTGATATTTGAAACGGAGATAAACATTGAAAAAAAAAGTGCTATTTAATATAGTGTCTGGAGCAGAGTTCTGGTACCCAAGTAAATAAATACCCCCCCCCCCTCCAAATCAGAACAAATAAAAACGCGCCCCCCCCCCCCCTACTCCGCAAAAAAACTCCATACTTTTACATCGATTACCAACTATCAAGGGTTCTTTTACTTACACGCCAATGTGTACACGGGACATCGGTTGTTCGTCCCATCCGAACGACTAGATGATGTCCTTGTCTAGCTTCCGTCCAACACAACTAACAAGGCGTACTCCTCACAGTGTTTCGTTTGATTAGCCCTAATCCAACCCAAACACTGCCATACTCAGCGAAAATTTCTGTCCCAAATTATGACTGTTTAACAATCCGATCAGCAACCAGTATATTACTACGTAACAAAATCAATCGGGATTAACCAGAGTTCTAAATATGTTATCGTAAAGTGTCTGGTGACAAACGAGGCTACATTACGTCATAACACATTATTGCAGAGAAACTAATCGTGTGATAAACGAGGCTACCCAAAATAGCTACAATGTAAAGATTTGGTAATCGTCGCGCACGTAGAATCCTTTTACCATCTTTTGGAAATGAAATGGGGTTGAATGTCCTACTGTTCTGCTCCTGACCAGGGTAATGAACACGGGCATAGGCCATACAGTGCGCTTTGAGGGGAATTTCGCCCGGGCATCGGCACTACGGCCTACTCTTTGTACCACTGACAAGGGGGAACCACGCCGGAAAATCTGGATGAACCTTCTCGGTCCAATGCAGGGATCGAACACCCGACCTCCAGGTTACCGAGCCAACGTCTTACCCGCCTAGCCACCGTGGATCCCATCATCTTTTGGACCACGCAACAGATGAATGACAATGTCTGTCTTGTTACGTAATGCGTTTCAACAAACTGGATAGAAATACGACATGTGCTATTTTGATAAAATAAATAATTCACGGATTTTTTCACAAAAATATTATAGAATATTTAAAGATACATTATGGGAGATTCGATAACGAGTTGGCAGTTCTCACTATAATAGTTAAAAACTAGATAATGTAACTTGCTGAAAATTTCATTCAAATTGATCCACTATAAACCGAGAACAAAGCGATTGAATTTCCGCCTAGCCTTGATCATCATTACTAAAGTCAGTACGATAAACAGCATAGTCTCGATTATCCATTTAATCTTTAAATTGTGAAGGAAAGTTATGCAGTAAATTGGGTCACAATCCACTAAGGATCGCACTCTAGCGATGCCATCTAGAGTTGATTATGGTCTGGATAGGTTAATTAATGTCCAATTAATAATTTAGATAACATTTCAGGCCTAAAGAAAGACCTGCAATAGACAGATTTAGCTCTTACATAATGTATGTTTAATAGTAGGCAGTAATAATTGGTACACGTTTATAAAATTTATAGAATTAACGAATTGGCAACGTCGCAGATTTGCAACAAATAATGAATGATTTAGATCTTAATATCAAATTCACAATTGAAACGAACGATCTGCAAATCGCATTCTTGGACGTTCGAGTGCAACGAAGTGGAGAACTCCTTATAACTACTCCTGGCATCAAAAGACAACCTCAGAACGAAATTTGATAATGTTAAATTCATTAAATCACAAAGACAGCCACCTAATCTGAAACGCCTCCACAAGAGTTCAACAAGATATTGGACTATATTTCAAAAATGTCTTCTCAGACCTCCTTATATGCCTGTGTGGTACCGCATTCCACACGATTTCCGAATTAGAATAATTTTGATACACTGTTTTGGGTCGGTGCTGTTTTTCACCACACGAGTTCCACAAGATATTTGATTTAGAAAAAAAAAATCAATTTTTTCAAAAATTTCTTCACAGACCCCCTATATGCCTGTGTGGTACCACCTTCCTCTAGATTTTCGACTTAGAATAATTCTGATAGTATAGAGTGTTTTGGATCTGTGGTGTCTTTCAAAAATTTCGAACTCAAACACCACACAGGCATATAGGGGGTCTGAGAAGAAAAGTTTGAAACAAAAATGATTTTTTTCTAAGTCTCATATTTTTTGTAACCCTTGAGGTGAAAAACACCACAGACCCAAAATACTCTATCATAATTATTCGTCAAAAGTCTTGTGGAATGTAGTACCATACAAGCATATAGGGGGTCTGAGAAGAACTTTTTAAAATGAAAATAATTTTTCTTCTAAGTCTAATATATTGGGAACTCTTGTGGCGAAAACACCACAGAAAAAAAATATTTACAAGATGATAGGATAATCTATTATTGTTCCATCAAATAAAACGAAAATGTTTCATAAATTTCCTGATCCACTTTTCCAAACGCCCCCAAACCGTGCCATGTCTATAGATCACAAAAAATCTCATATGTCTTGACTTGCAATGGTTGTCAAACGTTTTACATCGGGGAGACGGACACACATCTACGGGATAGAGTACGCAACTATCGACGGTGGGATTATAATATTAAAAATAGACACTTTTTATAAAATGAAAGCTGATGACATCATGAAAAGGAAATAAATGAAAAGCCATTTTATTAGAAATGAAATGGGGTTTAACGTCCTACTGCAGTTCTGCTCCTAAACTGGGCTAATGAAAACGGAATTTTATTAGAAAATACGTTCCTCGACTAAATAGCCAATAAGTAACAATTGGTCATTAACTTCATTAATTTTTTAAAATCTATCCCAGGATTATCTTCCACTCATTGTTCCTAAATTGTACTTATTAACAAGTTTAACACACCATAGACAATGGTAACTACAGCCAATTTAAACCACAGTGATATACTGTCCATCATTATTATACAATGGCATTATTTACGAATAGTAGTCCCAAGACAGACGAAAAGTACTTTACTTAAAATGTTATTAAGCCAGTGTTGAAATCAGTCTGAGTTAGCATACCTTTTATCTTTTCATCGTTTATGAAATTCGGTATGGGTCAAGGTACGAAACTATCATGCTCTGGACTTAGACTGCTAAGATGAAAAAACAGTATGCCTTACTTGTGCGCATTTCCGGTAATAATGCTACCTGCCAAGTACAGGCATTTATTTTGAGAAGAAAATTTGAACCATTATATTTTGTCGGGGACAAAAATGAACATAATGATGACAGGAACGACAATTTCTGCAATTTTCAATTCGAAAAAAAAAGAGTTAAATATTGTAGTACAATACTTTTTTTTTTCTAAATATAAAAAAAAAACTTTGCATGAGTAGGCCTAATTTCTTGTTCTACTCACTGCGGGGTGAGTCGGTTCTGGCCGGCGTAATATTAGAATGGATAATTTTTGTTAAAGCCTTGCGGTGGGTCAGGACCATTTCATTGTCGTTTCCATTCTATCCATTAGTGTAAGATAATAAAATATATGTAACAAAATTCAGCCCATGAGAAGGAAAAGTGGCCATATTTTGTTGAGTTTTAGGAGGTACATGTATATAGTCCCAATTTTTATTCTCCCACTTTTTCATGTGTACTTATATTATCGTCGCCCCTGTCCGCCCGTCTATCTGTCTGTCTGTCTTTCTGTCTGTCCGTCCACAATTTGTTTGTGGACACTACACAGGTCACAATTTTGATCCGATTTGGATGAAACTTGAAATACATGTTTATAACCCAAAGATCTTGGTTCATTTCGATATTCGCGCATATCGGATCGTAACTTCCTGAATTATTGATCTTGATTTTACGAAAAATCGCGTTTTAGTTCGTGGTCCCACTAGAGGTCACAATTTTTATCCGATTTAAGAAAAAGTTTGAATGTACCATCGTTGCACCTTAATGATGATGGCTAAGTTAGAATTTCATGAAAATGGGACAAAATGGCCGCCCCTCGTACGCAAACAGTGCAAATATGGAAAATCAGACTTGTGGACCCTCTAGAGGTCACAATTTTGGTCCGATTTTGATGAAACTTTACATTTATGTTTATATCACAAAGATCTTGGATCCTGTCGATTAACTCGCATATCCGAACGTAACGTCCTGGATTACGGCCATTGATTGTTCGAAATATTGCATTTTTAGCTTGTGGACCCACTAGAAGTAACAATTTGAGTTCAATTTAAAAAGCGTTTAAATATATCACCGTTTCACATCGATGAAGTTTGAGTTCGATTTTTGTAAAAATCGGACCCAAGCTGACTGACAAAATGGCTTCTCCTTGTATGGAAATAGTGTAAAAGTATGTAATACCAAGGTTGTGGACCCTCTAGAAGTCACAGTTTTTATCCGATCTTGATGAAACTTAAAATATATGTTTATATCCAAAAAATCTCGGGTTCCTTTCGATAATCAAGTTACGGCCCCTCATTGTACAAAAAATCGCGTTTTTGTTTAGCTTATTCTCTCTGTCCATCTCTTGCAAATTGTGGGCGTATCTTGCCTGGCAACCGCTGGTTATTTTCTCTGTTTCAGTAAACTGTTGTTCTTGCTTACGTTTGAGTATGCGATTTATTGATAAATTGTTTTCAGTTAATTATATATAATATTAGAGAACGTGTGAATCACTGACATTTTTAATTTCACAGCCAGCTTCCCTACTGGAACTATATATGATAAAACTAATGATAATTGTCAACCGTGTCCACTTGGTACTTATCAAGATGAAGAGGCCTCTTTTATCTGTAAACGGTGTCCATATGGAACAACTACTCAAGAAAATATATCTTTATATCCCAAATATCCCAGCCCCTTTCGATATTCGCGCATTTCAGACCATAACT